ATCACAGTGGAGTCAGCTGTCTTAACCGTGGCTTGTGTACTGCAAACACATACCAGCTTCATCACCGTGTCTGTCACGCGACTCTGTTCCCCTTTCGGGCTTGAACTGATGGTAAAACTAATGACATTATTTACTGTCTTTACATTTATTTTGAAAGATGAAGCTGGCGATTATGGTAAGAGGCGTTACATTTCCGACGCGTGCTTGCGGTGTTCGGCCAATCACAATGCACTGGGTCAGCTGACCAATCAGAGCAGACTGCGCTTGTCGGAAGGAGTGACTTTGTAGAAAGCGTTTGAGAGAGGCGGGGCATAAAGGACCTACAATAATGTACAGTATTTGAAAAATAATGTGTTTTTTGAACATTAAAGCATGTCAACATATTCTGTTACACCAAATACACAAAGTAATGATCTTTAAAAAAGCATCATATGACCCCTTTAACAAATATATTTTTAAACATTATCTAATTGTATTTAATCTTTTCACATACTACTCAATATTATGTGTCAACTTTTTAAATTTCAATTCAAATGTTATTTTATTGTTTGTGCTTTTGAAATGGATCTTTACTATCCCAAATTAGTCCAATTGCATTTAAGGCTACATTTGAATGCGTGTTTTCACCAAATGCAGTTGTTGCATGTGTAATTATTTCGTTGTTTTATACCTTCACCCACGTGGTATATTTAGGAAGTGTGTGTAGAAATTAAAACGATCCCGTGCCCTGTTCAGGCCCTGATATATAGTGCATTCAAATAGTATTGCATTACTTTAACACAGTTTGTGACTACCTTGAAACCAGTAATCGTTTCTCTTTGTTGGTCAAGATTTTTCTGCAGCACATTTGCGGGCTGCTTTGAACGTGCAGCAAAACAGCGACATTTCCGGGGACAGGAGACCAAAAACTGGGACTGTCCCCAGAAAACAGGAACGTCTAGTCACCCTATCATTTACAGATAGACAACACAATACTAATCATTTTTAGTTTTTCTTTTTCTTATGTATTTTTATAAATACAGTATGTATTGATACCCATAATGGTGGCACAAAGCAGCAGCCAGTGTCCCCGTGTTGATGCTGAAAGTGTGTTCTGTCAGGGAAAGAGGAACAGTCAAGCTGTATAGTGCATGCATAAATCATCACATGCTGCAGCAGTTTAATTCCTCAAAAATGCCTTTACTGATATCGGTAGTGAATCTCCCCTGTGGAGTGAGCCAGCATGGCCTCTGCCCCGGCACAGCAGCCCACGCTCACTGTAGAGCAGGCGAGAGGTGAGACGTCAGTCCTTAAATCATATGCTCAGGAGTCACGGCTTGACTTGAACTCAGCCAGACTGTTGTCCCGTCCATTGCAGTTGTTCTTAGTGAGGTGATCCAGGCTTTCTCTGTGCCTGAGAACGTAGCCCGCATGGAGGAAGCCAGAGAAAGCGCCTGCAACGACATGGGCAAGATGCTGCAGCTTGTGCTTCCTGTGGCCACTCAGATCCAACAGGAGGTCATCAAAGCATACGGCTTCAACAATGAAGGAGAAGGTGAGATTAAATGCGCAAGCATGCAAACACAAATAAAATGCTGTCATTTCAACTGCTGCGTTTTGCCTTTCAGGTGTTCTCAAATTCGCCCGGCTGGTGAAGATGTATGAAACTCAGGACCCAGAGATTGCAGCCATGTCAGTGAAACTCAAGAGTCTCCTACTGCCGCCGCTCTCCACTCCTCCTATCGGCAGTGGCATCCCGAGCTCATAGGACAGCGCAAACTCCCAGTTCATCAAGTTCAAATCCGTTTCATTCCGTCTAAACACATTCAGGTTTTCCCATTGCAGTCAACACAAAAGTACAAATTGCTCAGACCACAGAAACATATTTGAATCAAAAGTAAATTGGTGAACTTATACATTCCCATCTTCTTTCAGTGGAATTAGTATTCAAATCATTGTCTTTCTCACATATTAATTTTTTTGTATTGATGCTCATTTTGCCAATGTTGAATGTGCATATTAAGTGTAACACTAATTTGTTGATGCCTTTTGAAGGTCTTGTTTGTTTTTAAAGCGTTTTATGCAGTTCATATTGATTATTGTCTCATTTGCCCATATAAACATAAATGATAACCTGTTACAATGTTCTTGAGAGCATTACTGTTTGCAAAACTGATTAGTGTCACATAAACAGTGTTTATCCAATAAAGTCGTTTTTTTTTTACTTAATAGGAAGATGTTTCTTATCATGAAATGACTGTGTGCTTTTATGAATATCTCTCTCAGTATTTTAGTTTTCATTGTCTTAGTTCACTAAAATGTACAAACAGCATGAATTAATTTATGGGATTACTGTAATGGAATTACAGTAATCACATCTGTCGTTGTCATGTTAAAAACGCGTCTTCAAAGGTAAATGGTAAATGATCAAATCACATCTGTATTTTAAATCTTCCCAGAATGCATTTCGGACAGCAGTGAAGCACTAGTCACCTACTCACCTAACACCCCAGCTAAAAAAATATATATTCCAAGAACGTTTTGCCAGTGTTCTAAAATTATGAAAACATTATTTCTGAATGTTCGCGGAACATTCAAAGCGTCCATTATTTAGTTATTTTTTTAAACCATAACATTCCATTTTATCATGTTACTTTTGAGTGTTCTCTGAACGTTCCACTTGTTCCAAACTTTCTTCTGTTGAACGCCATAGACGATATTTTGAATAATGTTGATATCCAAACAGTTGACGGTAGCCATTGACTTTGAAGGAGTGCAATCCTGGATTCGCGGACGCTTCCATACATATCCTTTTGAGTGGTTGTTAATCAAGTTATTAATCAGTATTTAACCTCTTAGATTTTTAGTTCACTCAAAGTAGTTAGGCGTGTGTTCTGTTACTAGAATGTGATCTCTCCTTGTTTACCAGAAGGTTCTCTCCATATGCTTAACATATATTTACTCCTACACTCTAAAAAAATGCTGGGTTAAATACAGCCCAGTGCTGGGTAAAATAGGGACAAACCCAGCAATTGGGTTGTTTTGACCCAGCGGTTGGGTTACTACCCAGAAGGTTGGGTTAAACATTTAACCCAACCGCTGGGTCAAAATAGCCCAATTGCTGGGTTTGTCCCTATTTCACCCAGCACTGGGTTGTATTTAAGTGTATGCTTAACATATATTTTGACAGCCTGTCGCAAAGGTTATCAGGGCCCCTCAGCTACGTGACCAACTCCTAGTTAACACATTCACTTTGTTTTCCATCCCTTGATATTAAAGAATAAAGTTGAGTGTTGTCTGAACTTCTCTCTCTCTCTGAGAAACTGCTAGCCCTATCTGTATGTTTTGGGAAAGTACCTGATAAGAGTACGATTCTGAGACGCTCGATTCTGCAGATGTTGCGTATTCTCTCTCTCTATGTGTGTAATAACTATTCCCAGGACGAAATGGACATCTTCAGACAACCTGATGCTAGAAGTGCTGATATGTCTTTGGTGGGCCACTTTGCGCCTAAAACTGGATATCGGTTGTCACCATAATAATTTACGTACATGTGTAGAGATTTTCTAAGTGTATCGGTTTCAACCAACCAGAATCATTTTACCTAAAGCAATGACGTACAGTAGTTAGTGACCTTTTTAGAGTATAATTACTGCTGTATTGAGCGGCCTACAGACTCCTCACCAGTGTTTAAGCTGACTTCTGCTGATGAAACTGCAAACTACTTTCTACTGTAATTTTTCTTTAGTTGACTACATCTGTGACTCATGGTTTTTATTCATCATATCTGGTCCTTGGGTCTTAACTGTAAATTCCCCTACAACTTCCATAGTATTTTTGTTCATACTATGAAAATCACTGGCTACCGTAAACTGTTTGGTTACATAAGAGTAAGGGTGAGTAAATTATGGCAATTATCATTTTTGTGTAAACTATCCCTTTAAGCAAGTAGTAACATTTAACAAATGTTAGATGAGTGTTCCAACTAAAAAAATCCAATTTCAGAAAAAAAAGTTTATTCAATTATGTAAAATAACAGTTTTGTGCTAACATTTTGAGAACACATTAAATACCAGATAATTGTGAATGAATGTTCTATTACAGTTTTTCTCAATCGATTTGACACTTTTCTCCAAAGTAAAGTAATTGCTCTCAAAACGAATAACACAGAACATAGAAATCTAAATACATGCCTGTCTTAACCAAACAGTTCGATTTTACTGTGAAATGAAGCACATCAATAGATGTGTTTCCTATTGACTATAGAACATATTTAGCTGTAGATGCACAAATCTGAAAATACAGTTTATTGCAAAGTTCTTCAACAGGGAGTATTGTGTGTGTGTGTGTATATATATATATATTACACAGCTCTGTGGAATACTTGATTCTGATTGGTCAATCGCGCCATCCGGCGGTATGTTATTCCCAGATAACAACCGCCAAATTGAATAACACACCGCTCATCCGGATACTACGAGTTATCTTGACCGGTACTACTTATATGCTTAACGAGTCCCTCCGTTACCGTTGACTGTCTGGCATCATCTTGTGACTGAAAACACTTAACCACCGCGTGTTACAACGGAAGACTTCAGCATTAATTTCAACATATATGGTAAAAACAAATCTTTTTAGCCGTGTAATAAGCGGGATAATCGCTTTGCGTCGGGGTCCTGATCACAATGTCGGGGTTTATTCTGAGATAATGACCGGCTGGATGTACATTATCCCTTACACACACACACACACACATATATATATATATATATATATTGTGTATAAATGAAATAAAAAGTGCTGTAGTTATCCAACACCTATCACCCATGTGAAAAAACGAATTGCCCCTTAAAATTAAATCTGGTTGTGCCACCATTAGCAGCAAGAACTGCAAATAAACACTTCTAACTAGAGATCAGTCTTTTACAGCGCTGTGGTGGATATACACACACACGCACACACATGTCTGTGTGCTCGTGCGTGTGTGTTTGCTGTTGTACATACATTATGCTGAATTATTGATCTTGCCTTTCATTTACATCTAGAAGAGAATTTCATCTGCACTGTATTTGAGCTACACTACATTCTTGCTGTGCTTGCATCATTGGGGGGGGAAAAATAGTGAAAGGGTTGAATTGATGCTTGACAAGCTCCTGCCTCAACATCTCCACAAGCCTTCCTTTGTGGCTGGTATGTTGTTCTGGTACACCATGTCAACAATGCTCGTGTTCCATTCAAAATAAACTTGTGTTTCAAACTTGCATTCTGGAAAATCTTTGGACATTTAATGTAAAGAACAGAAGTTGTCGCAGAAAGACTACAAATCTACACGATCACCAAGCACGATATTTATACATATGAAGTGTGTCAGACTCTTAGATTATCTAAAGGAGAGGCCACGATTTATTACATGGTCAATTTGGGTAACTCTGATTTCATTTGAAATGTGTCTGTACTTTCACCCTGCTGTCCACTTCCTCTATGTCCATGTGTTCTTACAGTTTCTCCCCTTGCTCTTTCCACTACACCAGTACCCTTCACTCTACTCATCTCTCGTCCCTCTCCTCCTTTTCTCTTTTTCTAACATCCTCCTCTCTGCTCATCTCTTTCTACCAGTTACACTCTTCTTCTCTCTCTCATTACACCCCTTTCTCTACCCACTCCACACCCTTTTAGACTTACACCTCTTTCTTTTCCCCCCCCCCATTTTTTTTTTTTTTTTTGCATATTCTTTCTTGCTCTTTATAGATTTCCCCCTTTATAGTATAAGCAATTATGATAAATGTGTAAAGAAAAACAGTGTTTCCTTTGTTATGTGTGTTATTAAGAGAGCAGTTATTAGTTTGGAGCCAATTGAAAATATACCATGTGCATTTGATGATATGACAAATCATGAGTTTCATGCACAGTGTTTTGAGAAAATTATTCACATGATTTGCAGTTTGTATGAAATGAATGAAAACTTACAATCTGTTTAGGACAATTACGTAGTGTCCTATCTATCTATCTATCTATCTGTCTGTCTGTCTGTCTGTCTGTCTGTCTGTCTGTCTATCTGTCTGTCTGTCTGTCTGTCTGTCTGTCTGTCTGTCTGTCTGTCTGTCTGTCTGTCTATGGCTCCTCCTAGTGGACGAAGCGCCTCAAAAGTTGTCAAGTTATTTAATGCAACGACGCTTTATTTGAATGTCTCTCCTCTCTACCATGGCCACTTTCTGTCTTCATAAGCTTAATTTTGTTTCTTTAATCAGATGAAGAACTAAGTAGTGATAACGCAATGCATGTCATAAGAGAAGCAGCAGTGCGTTATAGGCGCGAGCGGAGCGTCCAGGCGCATCATGCGGAGGGTCTGCGGGGTTTCTGCTGATGCGAGCGCACTGCAGCTGAACACATGTGTGTATATTAAAACCATGGACTACTGATACACACCTGCCCGTTCCTGTGTGCCTACGATCACCATCCGCATTCACATGAAGGACTGAAGCGATGCCACGAGCCTCTGGAGAATGTCAGCCCTAAAAAAGGTATTGCAGCTGGTGTTGATGGAAATAAAAGACTGGCTTCTAATCATCAATATAAGTGATTGACCTATAGCCAATTCAAGAGCGTTTGAACTTAGTGGATGGGAATGATTCACGTGCCATTGAAAAGACCACAGGCGATTCTGCTGTCATAAATGGTCTTAATTAATTTTTTTTAAGCCACCTGCTTTTGCCAGTGCTAAACAGTGATGACGTCATGTGTAGCTCACATAGGCTATTATAAACTCAATGCTTCGTGTGATATTAGAATAAGTTTAGTATAGTAATTATATGTGTATGCCGGGGGGTTGAGCAGTTAAAGATCTCCATGTGGATTGTGGAGGAGTATGTGATTTTTTAAAATTTGTATTATTATTTTATTTATTTTTTGGCACATGCAACCGTCAGGAGCTCGATGAGTCCACTAAGTTGAGTTAGCATGACCCCTGTCCTGTCACAGTGAAATGGTTTATCTCATCTGTTCATCCTCTTCTCTCCACTCACTGATTGTCTCGTTCTCTGTGTGTGAAATTTGCTCCATTGTACTATTTCCATCTTCATTTCTCCATCTGCCACAGGTGTTACCATGGATACTGCAGACACATTGCTGCCTTTTCCTTGACAAGAGTCCAGGTAAGAGACAGGATGTGATATTTAGGGCATTTTCCCACATCTTAAAGGGTTAGTTCACCCAACAATGAAAATTAGGTTGCGTTTTACTCAGCCCCGAGGCATCCTAGGTGTATATAACTTTCTTCTTTCATATTATATATTATCATATATCTTTCAAACTCTATCGTTGCAGTCAGCGGGTGTTGCATTGCTTCAGTCCAAAAGAAGTCAAATAAAAATCGCCCATCCATAAAAAAAAAGTGTCTCACATGGCTCCGGGGGGTGAACAAAGACCTGTAGCGAATCGATGTGTTTTTGTAAGAAAAATATCCATATTCAAAACGTAATAATCACTTTAATGTAGCTTGCGCCAGCAGTTGTACACAGAAGCAGTTCCGGGCGGATGACGTATGAGTTCAGCGTTGCGCATGCGCCGGTGAGTCTCGTGAAAACCAACGTTTGTTTACAGGAGCAAAGGAAGCAAAGTTTCCTTGCTTTAGCAAAGGAAAACAAGTCTCCTCTTGGCTTATATCGAAATCCTCTGACATTCTTCTTTACAAATCCTCGTTTTGTACTTCTAATTAGTGACCGTTGTTTTGTTTTGATCTCTCCGCTGCATTTCCGCGTGCGTCACTCACTTTATGAGGTTTTTTAACATTAATATGAGTTCCCCTAGCCTGCCTATGGTCCCCCAGTGGCTAGAAATGGCGATAGGTGTAAACCGAGCCCTGGGTATCCTGCTTCACCTTTGAGAAAATTAAATTTCAGATGGCCCAATCTGGAATCTTCCCTTTATGTCGTCATACGGGGAAAGGTTACCTCCCCTTTCTCTGCTTTGCCCGCCTAGAGAATTTGTCCCACCCATGAGAAAATGAGCTACTACCGTGCGAGGCGAGCGCAATATATTTTTTTTCCTCGAGAGACATCATGGCTTGCTAACGAGTGAAGCATGGCAGTTGCCCCGCCTCTCTCCACCTCATTAGCATTTAAAGCTACAGACACAGAAATGGCACATCCTAAGGAAAGCTCATTGTGGGACTGGCTCGTAGTGGCTGAAATTCTGCACCAAGGCTGAATTTTGGGAAAGAGACTTCAGATACAGTACTAGGGACCACTTAGGCCTATATAAAAGCATCTAAAAAGCAGCATGTCATGGGACCTTTAACTCCCGGCTAAGAGAGCTGTGCAGTGATTTGTGGATTTAAAGGGATAGTTCACCCCCAAAATGAAAATTCTGTCATAATTTACTTACCATCATGTCGTTCCAAACCATTGTGACTTACAAAAGGAAAGGTTTCAAAGGCTTTAAAGAAGTTTTTTGTTCATACACAAAGTGGCTGTCAAGCTCCAAAATCACACAAAAAAGTAGTCAATAGGACTGAGCATAAGATACTGTATTTAAAAAAAATTAAAAAATCACACATTTGAACAGCTTTATCCACTGAAGAAAGAAAGTCACATGACCAGCTTCAGCAGACTTAAAATGGAGAAATAAAGGGGGAAGAAATGACTGCAGAATTTGAATGTTTGGGTGAACTCTTCCTTTAAATTTATTCTGTGTTGGGTAAGTTAGTTTTTTCCTGTAGTGTTCCCAGTTCCTTTCCATGCCATTTACTTAATTATTCATTATAAAGTTCAACTGTGATGATTGTCTTGTGTTTGGAAGTGAATGTCTTTGCCATAATGAACCATTTGTGTTACATCAGAAACATCAAACTGGACTTTCTATTGCGTTCATGCAGTGCTGGCAAATACATTCTTCGTTACTTATTGGATGTATATGCTTTTTGGATCTGAAAGAGAAAATATGCTATTTTGAATATCAAGGCACAACTTTTGTGAGTTCGTGGGACGCCCTGTGTTAACCCACCCCTTTCTGTCAGTGTTCAAAGAATCTCAAGGTTGCTGATGAACCACCGCATACAATTTTTTACATTCCAAAGCCCACATATGATTGATGGCAAGCTGTCCAGCCGACCGTGTATCAGCCCACAAAGTCCTGCATGGCTGTAGTTTACTTCAGTGTACCAGTGAATATTTTGAGAGCCCTGCTGCTGTTTCTATGGAGACGAGGGAGGCTGATGTCATTGGAGGTTATCCTGAACATGCTCAGATCTGTTTGTTGGAGCCAGTATCTGATGCTGATTATGCATTCAGCGGTATACAAACCATCAATATTCATAAACTAAATCCAGAAACAATCCGTTGTGAAAGCATTCAGACTGATTTCTAATAGCGCTCTTTAATCAGTTCATTCATTTCTATGAAAAGGAGTGCAGAGAATATCTCAGAATGAGACAGTTCACCTTTTCTAATTCATTCATCATGGCTCAGCATTTTCCAGAGGTCATGGCCGACAGCGCATGTTAATGCTGTTTGAAAGGACATTTCAAATCAACATCTGACTCATTAAAATCACATTGTTAAACAAGTTCAGTGCAATACAGAAAAGAACGGAACTATGTCATAATTTTGCTAACTCGTGTGATTGGTTTGGTTTCATTCTTGAATTGTTTTTAGGTTTTTTTTTCATTTCCGAGGCATTTCTTCGTCAGGCAAGATTGTGACAGTTTGTTGTTTCCAGATATTTTGGGTTGTGACTTGTCTCATTCATCTCAATGGCAGTTGCTTAGTTAGTGCAGGACTCTAGTACACTCTTAAAAATAAAGGTGCTTCAAAAGGTTCTTGAAGCGATGCCATAGAAGAACCATTTTTGGTTCCACAAAGAACCATTCAGTCAAAGGTTCTTTAAAGAACCATCTCTTTCTTACCTTTTTGTAATCTGAAGAACCTTCTTTCGCCACAAATAACCTTTTGTGAAACAGAAAGGTTCTTCAGATGTTAAAGGTTCTTTATGGAACCATTTAGACAAAAAGGTTCTTCTATGGCATCGTGAAGCACCTTTATTTAGACAGATAAGTGGGATGGGGCAGCAATGAGGGTGCTTATGAATCAAAATCGGCAGTATCCAGGTTGCTTACTTCCAGTGCTTTCTCAAGTTATATTCGAACTTTGTCTGTGGTTGGATTGGTGTAAATGTCATGTGACATTGTTCTGGAATTGGCTTTATTCACCACCAGAGGGAGACATGTAACTGTCTTTCACACAGAACAGTATATGAAAGGAACCAGTGCTTGTGATTTGCTGCCGTTCCTCTATTCGATTCTATTCTATTCTATTCTATTCTTATAATCACACATTTTGCTTATTTTTCTAATGATTAACAATTGGTGTTTTCTTTAACTGTAAGGACATATATTTAATTTAATCTGCACTACTGATGTTTTATTTTCGTTAGAAAATTAAATCATTAAAATAAAATATTTCAACAATTAAATAAAATATTTACATGACTCCCAGTAGAGTTGGACAGTTTTTTTGTGTGTAAAGCAGCTTCACAGTAATATACAGGTAGATACCAGAATCAATAGCTATGTTTCCATCCACCAAATTTTATATATTGCAGATATTGCATAAAATATGCTGGATGGAAACATCAATATGTGCATACTGTTCATACTAGGGCTGGGCAATATAGCAAATTAATATCACACTATTTTTCAGCCTTTTCGCCATTTTCTATATATCTCTACATTTATTAAATTCATTTTCAAAATAAAACGAACATCAGATTGAAAAGAAAAGATTATTTTAGTACGGTTTATCATATCATTTTGTCTTTCTACTTCTAAATTTCATGTTTAATTCAATGTGCGCATCATGTGTTTCCTCCTTTGGGATAAAAATAAACCTCCTTATGTTATCTCTCGGCTTTCTTCCAGAGGTCGGTCAGGTGCTATTAATGGCTAACTAATGGTCATATGGTGCTGCACACTGATATTTGGCTTCTCTCCGTACTGTTCATACTAGGGCTGGGCAATATAGCAAATTAATATCACACTATTGTTCAGCCTTTTCGCCATTTTCTATATATCTCTACATTTATTAAATTCATTTTCAAAATAAAACGAACATCAGATTGAAAATAAAAGATTATTTTAGTACGGTTTATCATATCATTTTGTCTTTCTACTTCTAAATTTCATGTTTAATTCAATGTGTTTCTTGTCAATTCTTTATAATTATTTGCAACATTTACTAGACTGGCAATTTAAAAAAAACGTTTGAAAGTATAGTGTTTCAGTGTATTTGCTCTGATATAGCTTCAAAGGATGTTTTATACATTTTTTTAATAAGAGGAGCTGTTGTTTCTATTAAACAGCCATCGTTGCCTAGTAAATGTGTAATCGCATAAACTAAAACACATTAAAAATCTAGATAAGAATAATCAAGGCATGTGTTCCCACATAGTCACTAAGTGAACACAATTAAACATAATTATTTATATAAAAATGCCACATGGAGGCTTCTGTGAACATTTTTGAGCGATGGCGCAAATAAATCAGATTCATTGAAATGTAAATCCATGGAAATTAATCAAATAACCAGCTCTAGTGACATTTTTGATATTGAAGCAAAATATGGAGAATTATTGTGAATTTTCGATATATTGCCTCTCAGTCCATACATATAACATTCCTGTACATGTTATTTAAGTGTGTGAACTGTTGGAAAGTTTGTGGTTTTCATTTAGTACATATTTTATCATTATTAGATTGAAAATAAAAGATTATTTTAGTACGGTTTATCATATCATTTTGTCTTTCTACTTCTAAATTTCATGTTTAATTCAATGTGTTTCTTGTCAATTCTTTATAATTATTTGCAACATTTACTAGACTGGCAATTTAAAAAAAACGTTTGAAAGTATAGTGTTTCAGTGTATTTGCTCTGATATAGCTTCAAAGGATGTTTTATACATTTTTTTAATAAGAGGAGCTGTTGTTTCTATTAAACAGCCATCGTTGCCTAGTAAATGTTTAATCGCATAAACTAAAACACATTAAAAATCTAGATAAGAATAATCAAGGCATGTGTTCCCACATAGTCACTAAGTGAACACAATTAAACATAATTATTTATATAAAAGTGCCACATGGAGGCTTCTGTGAACATTTTTG